GGCAGCTCAGACCCTGGAGTGTGGGACCTGCAGAAGAGCCCCCCAACAGGCAGGGGTGGCAGCTGGGAGCTCAGACACTAGGCCAAGAGCCCAGGCATGCTACAGCACCCCCCAGAGCCCTAGTTCCCTTCCCATGCCTATATGCACTGCCCCACAGCTGCCCTTTAGTTGAAATAGGAGTGGTGCAGGGAAAGGTCACCAACCAGGGCTACCACAGCCCTGAGCCCCCAATCCCCTGGCTGACTCCTGCACTCCCCCCAGTCCTAGCCGCCTGTCCTAAGACCCCCCCACACCGCCAGCCCTCTGCCCTGACTTCTGCACCCCCCCCCCAAACACACACCACAACCCCTTGCCCTGCTCCCCCCCATCCCCATTTCCACCCCACATTTAAATTTCTTACAGGTACTGCCGTATGGCAATCCCCCCAACCCCTGCCCTAAGGCCTCCCCAATACAACAATACCTGTGAGAAATGTAAGTTCCTTTCGCCCTCAGTGTGACGTGACTGGGCTTTGCTTGTCACTCCCAGGTGCATTATCACAAGAAGATACCACAGCTGGAGAGAGGTCACCACCTCCACATCTCCTGGGTAGCCTCATCCCTTTCCCTGCCAGTTTGGTGCTGCTGACGGCCCTTGACAAGGACGCTCCCAAGAGGGGTACCATTCAGACAAGCTTCCCTGTCAAAGAGCTCCCTGTGCCTCAGATGAGGAGCATCCTAGGTAAATGAACTCCTTCGCTGCAGCCCAGTTGGGATCTCATCCTGCTGGACTTGTGAGTCACCAATGGATTTCTAGGGTTGCAATTTATTTTCAGTCTATTTCTAGATGATCTCCTCTCCACTGGGATCAGAACCACTGACCTCTGGAAAAGCTTCAGAAGTTAGGACATGGCCTGTTTGAAATTGGGCACCTTGCCGGTCTAGGAACCATGCCTTTAAGAACCATAAAGCTCTTAATGAACCAGACCAGAAAGGCGGTGTGTTACCTGTTCTGGACGGGGTTAAACGTCCCCTGAAAGAACAGGTGTGCAGCTTCGGAGTCTTCCTGGAGTCCTTTTTAACATTTGAAAATTAGATTTCCTTAGTGGCCAGGAGTGCTTTTGGGCAGCTTCGGCTGATCCGCCAGCTGCGACCCTTCCTGAACAAGCACGAGTTGGCTACGGTGATTCATGCTTTTGTCACATCTCGATTGGATTCTTGCAATGAGCTCTACATGGACAGATGGCAGAACAAGGAGCAATGGTCTCAAGTTGTGGTGGGAGAGGTCCAGGTTGGATATTAGGAAAAACTATTTCACTAGGAGGGTGGTGAAGCACTGGAATGGGTTCCCTAGGGAAGTAGTGGAGTCTCCATCCCTAGAGGTGTTTAAGTCTCGGCTTGGCAAAGCCCTGGCCAGGTTGATTTAGTTGGAATTGGTCCTGCCTAGAGCAGGGGGCTGGACTTGATGACCTTCTGAGGTCTCTTCCAGTTCTATGGTTCTATGATTCTGTGGAGCTGCCTTTGAAGCTTCAACTGGTCCAGAATGCAACTGCTTGAGTTTTAACGAACACTCGTGATACAGAGCACATTATGCTGGTGCTCTGGCAGCTACACGGGCTTCTGGTATGTTTCCGGGCAAAATTCAAGGTATTTAAACAACCTTCTGGTCTCATATGAGCCTGCCCAGGGTTTGAGATTAGCCGGGGAGGCCCTGCTCCATGTTCCTCTACTTACGGATACACGGTTAACATCTACACAGAGCAGGGCCTTCTCAGCCTTTGCTCCCAAGCTATGGAATTCTCTCCCCAGGGACATTAGCCTGGCGCCAATGCTGGCACTGTTTCAGTGCCAGGCCAAAGCCTCCCTTTTTACCCGTGCTTTTATTGGGGTTTAGTTGTGTGTACGTGCATGCATGTGTGCCCCTCCTCTTGAGGTGTTTTAGCTGGTTTTACGTAACCCCTTTTGGGGTCCTGTATCTATCTTTCTTTCTTTCTTAAAATTTTTGTAAGCCACCTTGAATATTTCAAATAGAGAGGCGGGGTAAAAATATTTTTAGATAGATAGATAGATAGATAGATAGATAGATAGATAGATAGATAGATAGACAGACAGACAGACAGACAGACAGACAGACAGACAGACAGACAGACAGACAGACAGACAGACAGACAGACAGACAGACAGACAGACAGACAGACAGACAGACAGACAGACAGACAGACAGACAGATAAACCAGATGCACTATACCCATAGCCTAAAAATTAGCTCAAAACTCATTAACTTTCACAGAGAGCCATTGTTTTACTTTGGAACACAGAGCAAGAGTTTAGTCAATAGACAGGGGGTTAGAGTTAATTTTTTTTAATTAGGGGAAGAGGGTTTATTTAATAGTAGAGAAGATTGCTAAAGCTGCAGAAAAAAGAGCATTACCAAAAAAAACCCCAAACCTGGATGGATGATGCGGCCACGTAATGAGAACCAGAAGCCTGAGATGGAGTCTAGCCAGGATGTCTGAAAACCCTTAGAAAAACTGGAACATGTTTTTACTCACCAAGGGCCAGATCTGCTTTTGTGCATGGAGACTGAACCCTCTGCATTTGCAGGACCAGCTGTGCCAGAGGACGGAGGAATGCAAACCCTCCGAGGAAACACAGGTGGTGACAAGTCACACACGCACGTGCACAAATGCACCCGGCAGCCACCATAGGCTCCTCCAGACGGACACAGCTTACGTTTCTGGCAGGGTCCCATAACAGCTGAGCCAGCTGGGAGCTCCTTGGGAGACGTGCCCCACCCTGCCCTCACTGAGATTGCCAGGTCAGTTTGGGCACATCTACACAGCAGACCTAAACTCAAAATAAGCTACCGAACTTGAGCTACACTGGGGCTACGTCTAAGTAGGAATAGGAGATTTGTCCACTTAGGGGCTAAGTAGGAATAAGAGATCCTCCGGAATAGGGCTTTATTCCGGAGGATCGCGCCAGTCTGGATGCTCTTTTCCGGCTTTTCCCCAAGCCGGAAAAAAAGCGGCGGCCATGTTTATTTAAATGAAGAGGAGGATATTTAAATCCCCCGCGCATTTCCCTATTCCAAAGTTAGAAATTAGCATGCCTCTTCCAAAGAAGGGGCCAGTGTAGACACAGCCTAATTGTGTAACTTAAATAGAAATAGCTTATTTCGACTTCTGGTGCTGTCCAGACAGCAGTTATTTTGAAATAGAGCATCCTTCCCCCGACTTCCCTTACTCCTCATGAAATGAGGTTTACAGAAGTCAGAGCAACAAGCCCGTTATTTCAAATTTGTTTTGAAATAACTGCTTGCTGTGTAGGCGCCCACTGACGTTACTCCGAAATAACGCTGCTGTGTAGACGTAGCCTTTAAGGCCTGCAGCCCCAGCCCCAGGACTTTCCAGCAAAGGGGGAAGGGGGTACATATCCATTTTTGTGTCATTCCCCATCAGAGTGCGTGAGCAGCTCTCAAACACTCACACATGCACCCTCAGAGTTAGCGTTCATTTGCATTTTTCATTCATGACTTTTTTTTTTCTGATAAACCCTTTTCTCAACAAAAATGAACATTTGTTCTTATCAACGTTTCCTAGATTTTCAATGAGAAAACAGACGGATGGTTTTCCAACTTGATTTTTTTTTTCATGCTCTCTCTCTCTTTTCCTCGCCAACCCTTATTCCCTCCCTCCTCTTCTACTTTACCTCTGAAAAAGGAAGGCAAAACAACCCCCAAATTCTGGAACAATAGCAGAACACTTCAAACATTATTTTCATAAAACATCTTTACCAGTTTTCCACCAGCTCTACTCCTAACATGACCCTCAGGCAAGAACTATTACCCACATTTTGCTGATGGGGAAATAAGACACTGAATGATCCAAGTCGGTTCGCCAAGA